CACAGCCCCAGCACTGGCTCCTATAGTCTCCCTCCAGGCAGCACAAACCCCCTTTGCCTCTGGAAAGGGTCCTGTGATTAATCTCACTTATTACTTCGGAAAAGTAACAGTGCAGCGGCTGCCAGCCAAGTCCGACTCAACGTGTCTGGGGAGCTGAGGCTGCAGGGCCAGGCCTCAGACTGTCTGGGCAAGTCACGAGCTTTCTGCCTTTCCTCTCCTGGAGGCTCCAGACAGTCAGAGCCAAGGCCTAGCTGTGGGAAGCAGGGATCCTGCAGGACTGTGCCAATCCATGGTGCTGAGGCTCAGGGCGATTTCCAAGCAGGATGGAGAGCAATTGGCCCTGACATCACAAGTTTCCTTAGTGTGACCAAAATATACATAGAAAAAAAAATACAAGGCAAGTCATGTATTTCTAAAGTTTAAGTCAGCCAATTCACTTCCACAGTTAACAAGTTGTCACTGGTGACCCTGGAATACGTGTGTGGAAATAAAATAGAAAAGATAAGAGGTTGTTGCAGAAGGAGAAGGCTGTTACAGGCACAAATATTCGTGGTTGCACGAGTAGAGGAAGAACATGCACAAACTAGAAACAGGATGAGTTGCAAGAACATACAGGCAGTAGTTCTATTTTTTGCCTGCCCTCCTCAAACCTCCTCTGAGTAGAAGGTAATAACAGAAAACTCCAAATTCAGAGCTCTCAGAAGTGCTGCCTCTCAAGGACGGCAGGCAGTGTCATCATGACAGAGCTGCGGAGGCGATGCAAACAGAGGTCACAGAAAAATCACTGTACCCACCCTCAATTACTCCTCTGCCGCGAATAAAGAAACTGAATTACTTCAGGCATTAAGGTAAGCAAAAAGGGAAGAGAACAAGCACTATGGGGAGACAGGAACAGACATGTGGCTATGCTAGCAGAGGGCTGGACTCAGTGCTGTTGGGCTGCTGCTGCTCTGGCACTTCTGTACTGCTCAGCCAGGGAGGTGTTACGGTCAACGCAGTTTGCTCAAACTGAACTGAGGGCTTACTGTGTATCCCTCAGTGCTTGCTGCTTTCCCCCTTCATTTCCTCCAGAGGCATCACTGCAGCACGGCCTCCAAGTTACCTTACACCTAGATGCTGTGCAAACAAACAGGCTGTGAACACTTGGCAAATGCAGCACAGGACAACAGTCAGGCAGCCTCGACTTTGCAAGGAACTGCAGGGAGCTCAAAACAAATGATTTGGAAGAGAATAAAAGTCATTATCAACCCAGAACTACAAGGCAACACATATGTAACACAATCAGCCCGTGATTGCTGTCTGGGGTCTTTCAAGCAAAACTCAAAGATTCAATGAAACTAGAGAAGCCAAATACACCACTGCAGAAAAAACTCTCAAAAGACATCTGGGATTCTTCCTCACAAGTCCAAAGGATATATACTTAGTATGATCAGAACAGAACATCTGAAACCTAGAACGTGTCTTACATGTACCCATAGCAGTAAATGAATTCTTGGAGGAGAAATCCACTGTCTTTTGCAAAAAACAAGTGGCATAGCAGCTGCAAATTCCAGTGTCAGAAGCTTCAAGTAACCTCTGACCGCCGTCCCCATTACTAGGGGTTATGCAGCACTTTGCCAACAGGTACTTTAGTTTATGTTCTGAATCAACAAGCTTCACTCTGTCAAACAGCTGATTTTTTACCTTTATTATGCATTCAAGATAATGCTTTATCAAGAGCAGTTCTAGTGCGGTCTTGGCTTCAGTGACTGGTAGTTTCACTGGATAATGAGGAATTACTTCCATATTTGTGGTCCTTAGATTACATTATTAAAATTGTGATAAAAATAATATATGGCAACCTTAAATAATTCTACTGCAAAACATGTAATCACGTTTAGTGCCTTTACAGCACAATGTGAGGGGGTGACAACCCTACCCAAATAATTGAGTGAGAACTCAATCGAGACAGAACTGAAATAGGGCACTGAGACAGGACTAGGATTAGAGTGGGAGAAAACAGATTTGACATAAATTCAATGACGTACAGAGGGTAACAAAGGCAGGTCTGCAGTAAATGTGGCAGATGCTGACAGCCATGTTACAGTAGTCAAAAGTAAGCCCACATACAACTTGGAACATCTCACCTGTTGTGGAGCTCTGCAGGCTTCTTTGTTTGAGGTGCAGCAAAAGACTAAGCCATCATTTGAGTGGGAATAGCACCAATGCTTATAGAAAGTGACAAAAAAATTTTAAAATGCACAGCAGTGTAGATTTATAAAACAACATTTTAACATATTCAGAACTGTCCTCTGTCTCCACATTACAAACCCAAGATCTCCTTTGCCTTTTGGCAATAGGACTACTAATTTGGCACCTCACCTCATACAGCCAAAAGAATTCAACAGAAGGAGTCCTTCTGAGAAACATTTAGATAAGTCAGTACTCAGAGAGTGGGTATTAAAGGGGAGAAAGATTTGTCAACAAGAATAGTCCAAATCCTATAGATTGCAAACATCAGACCAAAATTTTCAAACCAACCTCAGCAGCACTAAAATGGCTTAGATTTACCACAGAGTCATACAAAAACTGTAGGGACTGCATTTCAGAGGCAGATATTTGAACTGGAGCCAACTGCAAGCCAGATAAGAGACCCATTTACAAAACATTTTCATCCTTGCCGAATTCTGCAAGTGATAGACCAGAACCTTAATGGAACAAAACAGAAAGCTTTTCTTCAGTTATCCAGCACTGAGCACAGACTGACACCCATCAGATGACCCTCTGTGAACTGCTTGCTCCAATGTAACTAATCAAGTAGCAAAAAAGGCATTTACAATACAAGATAGCAATCTCCATATATCATGACCTTGATATTCTTTTTGGAATTCTCTCATAAAATAAAAGTTCACAGACCAAGTAATCCAGCACTGCCTCAAGAATGCCTTTTTTTTTCATTTCCAGATTTACAAAAAACTTTTAACTCACAGTATTCTGGCCATTCAATAAAAGCATCCATAAAGATAAAATAATTCAATAAAGAGTCCTAAGACATCTTTCTGTCACTTTCTCTGAGGACAAAAACCAGAGCAACTGAAGTACTGAAAGACTAAATGATTCATAAAAGGTTTGAAGATGGAATCTTTTATCTGTTGTGACGGGAAAATTCTGAAGCATTTTCAGATTGCTGTGGAAAATAAAACAGAAATTTTAACTACAAGCATTAAACTATGCACACAATGCTAGATGAGGCACAGCCCTGAAAGTCATTCAGAGCAGAGTTCTGGGCATTAAATGGTGGGGTTTGCAGCTATATCTGTGAGCCCATGAAAAGGTGCAAGCAGAGTCAAGAAAAAGAACGGAAGCTCTAGGACAGCCTGCATGCTGTTGCTCTCCCAAGCCGTGTAAGAAGAAAACGCAGTTTACACCTATTGGGTAAGTTCTTTATTTGGATTAGGTAATAGCTTGCCTGGCTGGGCTCCAAGAGCAGAATCACTACCACCTCTCTCAATAACTTTAAATCCCAGAGGCAAACATTGTCCTGGAACAGAAACAGGCCAGGAATTCATTTCTCACATTCTTCGTCTTTAGGCAGGGTGAAAAGCAGTGACTGATGGAATAAGAACAATTTTACTTGAGCTTTCCAAATCCCATTACAATTCTCCTACTGAAGGACCCTTGTGGGAAAGGATGACCACTCTGGTCACATGCCTTCTCCACTGTGTGTCTCCCTCTCTCACCTCCCTCCATTTTCCAGCAGCATTCAGATGCCAATGACAAGAACCAGTGTTTTCATGTGTACGGTGCTTTCCAGTCCTAAACTCATGTGCTGGAGAAGCTCTGCTTCATTATTCTTTTTAAAAGACAAAAATGAAAGCTTAGGCAAAGGAATAAATAATATTTACTGGAGTGGCAAAGGAAGAACTCAAATCTCCAGCAGTTCCGGGCTTGTATTCAGCCTACAGCAAGCTTGTACACAGCAAGCTTGACTTGCTCCTAGTCTACAAGATCTAGACTTCTGTGAGTCAATCTTGCTACTCTTTCAATCCCAGGAAGAATGGTTTTACTGCAGAATCACAGTCCTCTGCCCTGATTCCCATGAGCATACTAGCTATAAATATAAATTCCAACGTCCAAAATTCATATGGAGCATAAAGAAGCCATCTGGAAAAGAAAATCTAATAAACACTGCTCTATCTATGCGGTTCTATCTTTGAACAATCTAAACTTGATATTCACAGAAAAAGCATGAAGATGAGGACATAGTGGAGATTTTTGCAGCATTCTGCATATATGTCTCAACACTAGCAAACTTGAACTTAAAGATGCAGAGAAATCAAAGATAGACATTTCCCTCTCAGCCTACATGTTCATCCAGGCCCTTATTTCACCGTGAACCTGACAGCTCTGGGAACATAACTATTATCATAGGCCTAGTTTCCCGATCTGAGAAGAACGATTACTAAGCTCTTAGATAGAATCATGGAACTGTTTATGCTGAAAAATACCTTTAAGATCCTCAAATCCAACTGTTAACCTTAACACTACCAAGTCCACCACTAAACCATGTCCCTAAGTGCCACATCTACGCATTTTTTAAACACTTCCAAGTGGCTCCACCATCTCCTGGGCAGCCCATTCCAATGTTTGACAACCTTTTTGGCGAAGAAATTTTTTCTAGTATCTAACCCAAACTTCTCCTGGTGAAACTTGAAGCCATTCTTCTTGTCCTATTGCTTGTTATTTGGGAGAAGAGACCAACATACACCTTGCTACAACCTCCTTGCAGGCAGTTGTACAGAGCAATATTGTGTTGCCCCCAAGACTCCTTTTCTCCAGGCTAAACAACCCCATCTCCCTCAGCCACTCCTCAAACTTGTGCTCTAGACCCTTCACCAGCTCCACTGCTCTTCTCTGGACACACTGCAGCATCTAAGCAAGAAGCCAAACATAAATTATAAATGAGCTCCTGAGTACATTGCATTCTTCTTCCAAAAGCTAGAGCAGCAATTTTAACTTACCTGACTGCTGAAGAGACAGATCTTTTGTCAGCTCTATGAGTGTCTGACTGAACAGCCCACAGTGACCCTCTTTTGTTGAGTGGTGACCGGTAGCTCTGTGGGGCAGCTGCATTCCCCTTGCTTATAGCTCCACTTGCCAAGTTCAGGTTTGTTAACTAAAGAGGCAAAAAAAACAAAACAAAAACAAACCCAAACAAACTATCAGAAACATTTAAAAGCCAAGAAAAGAGTAAAAGGCATCACTATGTAAATGGGATAGAGCATTTACTAAGAAAAGGGAAACTGCTAGAAAAGGGAAATTTTCAGACGCAAAAAACCTGTGCTAGTTGCATAAAGCAGTGGAAGAGATGACATCAACAGACACTGTGCTTGAAATGAATTCAAATGCTAGCATGAAAATTCAACCCTTCCATTCACAGAACAAAGAGGGGAGAAAAATCCCAAAGTAAGAAAGCAACATCATGTTCCTGCCATGTGAAAAAAATTAAATCCACGTGCACTAATCAAAAGCTAGAAGCTCATATTACATTGAGCAGAGACCAGACTAACTCTCCAGTCATCATGAGCTGTGTAACTAAGCCAGCAACATGCACCTGTCCTCTCCCTATCCCTCTCTATACATACATACATACAGGTACAACACAAAAGCATATGTATCTTGGATATAAAATTCAAAACCAAACTCGACCACACACAAAAGAAGCTTCCCACACAACCACTTGCAAACTGTTCACACAAGTAAACATACTGAAATCATGTTAGGTGTATGTTTGCTAGATCAAGCTCTAAAGAAGTTATCTGTGAGTTTTTAAGCGTATAATATGTATCTGTTTCTTTCTCTGAGCATTCTTCTTGAGTTGCTTAACTTCTTGAAAGACCAAACTGCAGGCAGATGCTATCTGTTAATGTATTGAAGAAAGCCTAAATACACAACACAATGGATCTACTACAGCAGTGTAATGGTTTACACTTGGGGAAAAAAAAAAATGAAGGTCACAAAACACTACAAACATTGAAAAGCTAACTCTGTAAAGGCCTCCCAGTCAAGCCCTGCCAGAATTAAGTTTATGACTCCCTTTAATTACATGATCACGTGTTACTTTTTAGCAGTGAAAACACCCAGTTCTGCACCAAGACTAGGATCAAACAGCAAACAAAACTTACCCATGTTGGCCCTCCTCACTTTGGTGGCAACTGAAAGGCATAGAGCCAATGAAACATGAGACACAGACAGAAGAGTCTAACAACTAGCCCTGCACCTGCTCCAGATCTCAAAGGTAATTGTTATTAAGTCACTTAAGGTGTAACTTCAGCATAGCTTAACAATGCTCTTTTACCAGAATTTGTAATTGAACGAGTACAAACCAGCTTCATTAAATAACTACACTCATACTTAAAATGGACTTGTTCAGGATTACAGACCTCATATCCTCTCACTGAACTCCAGAACGTGAACTAACATTGCAACTGAAGTAGGTTGTCACTCCTTTTGTGGTTTAGTAGTACAAGGCACTAAGCATTTTGTAAGTTCAGAAATCTTTAATTCATTCCTACATCAAGTTCTGGACAGAATTAAATTCTAGCGGTAACACACTTGGCTTTTGCCCACTTTTCCAAAAGCAGCCATCCACTTTCATCTCTTCTCAGCTCTAGTCTTTTCTCATTCTTTCTTCTCATCTGTGTGTCACTATTCTCACCTAGTCAGTTCCAGCTTCTGCATGTCAGGTGTCATTCTCCTTGTTTTTCTCAGTACAGTTTTGTTCTAACAGATTTGCAGCACTGTCCTCCCTACTAGTTCTGGCCTATGAGACACACCATTTCAGGCCTGAAACTTTCCACAGGAGTAGTTACTTGATCTGTTTTTCCACACTTCCATTCTTAGTTCCTCACATATCCTATTATCCAAGTGGTTCTAGTTCTATTCCCCTCCCTAGTCCACTCCTTTTGCTAACTGTTCTTTCATCTGAATGGTTCTCAGTGTCTTCTCCCAAATTATGTCCAGGCACAAATTTCACAGCCTCCTTGTCCTAGCTGTTCTCCACACCGTGGCAGAATTCCCACTCCTTCTGTACTGAAGTCAGACAAGTCCCCAAACCATCAAGGACCAGGTCACTGAGAACGCAGGAGAAAAGGAGTACACTAGGGATACAAATACAGAGAAATTGAGTTTAGCATGCTCAGTGGGGAGGGAACCTTCAGGAAGTTAAGAAGGTCTAGCAGGTATTGCTGAGTATATTTCACTTGAAGCTTTTCAAACAACTACTGTGCAATCAAGCTCGGACAAAATTTTAAATTCCAAATTGCTATTTCAAAGCATGGGAGATCCAGAGATTTAAACTAAAAGTTCTGCAGATATTAAAATGCATAAAATATTTTTTTTAATCCAGCCTTGGTTTTGTCTGGAATACTTCATCTTGCCTGAAGTGTTCTGAACACTGAACAATAAACATAGAAAATATGAATCCAAATAGATGATGTTTCAGAACACTACAATTAATTTAAGACAAGATCTTACAGTGGGACATATCAGGCAAGCTTAGTAATGGCAGTGTTATCCACCTTATATGGAAAACAGCATTAGCTGTCATTTTGGTGCCCATACCTCACCCTTAAACGTTGTTGTGTTCTGTAGAATTTAATTAAAATTTTAAGTTTCTACATTGCAATAACAGAAAGCTTCAATTTAGGTTTAGTTCTGATTGTGCCAGGCACTATACAAATACCTAACAATGACAGTTGCTGGCTACAAAGAGTTTATTGTCTGAAAAGAAGCAAGAATTGTAATGATGCAAACACAGAGGGCAACATGGTAAATTAAACAGGTTATATACAATTCTTAGCTTGTCAGCAACAACGATCACAACTTTGCTAACATTTTCTCTTCTCATCATCTTGATACTAAGATGCATTTAGTCTGATGAATTACGGCCTCAGTCCTGCTCTATTATTGTGACACGCTTACATGCTTTCCTCTCTAATATTGTATCATTGTTTATTTGAAAGCTGTCTCTCTAAGCAAAGCAGGTGAGCAAATAGCTTCCCATGGGTAGTAGGGCCATTTCACACATTCCAGATAGACAGGTGTTTAAAGTACAGCAGATTAAACACAGGCAAGGGATTCAGAATGAGAGAGCGAATACCAGCAAGGTTTAGCTGCAGCCAGTGCAACCAGTCCAGCCAGACGGGTGTTACTGCTTGTTACTATGCCATGCACTGAAACATTTCAGCTGCTATAATTAGCTTGCCAGGATGTTGCATTGAAGTATTGCTGAGACACCCCCAACACATCCGTGGTCAGCAGGGGCTTCATTTTCTAGTCTTCCTGTGCACTTGATGGAACTGCATTATTCCCTTCACAGAGGCAAATACTTAGCAACAAATCAGTTGGTATTTTGGTGTAAAAGAAGGTAATGTATAGCACCTGGACCAAAAGAGCCATAAAGAAGAGCTTGTAGCTTCAGAAATTGTAACAATGGAGCAAAAAACAAACGAATTAAAAAAATACCCCTAAACCCTAGAAAGTCAGGCTAGCGAGCTCAACAGAGAAGGTGGTTATTAGTGTGGATCTACAAGAATAAAGTTATTTTTCACACTGAGTTGCAACAAGATGGGTTCAAACTCTCCTGTTCCTCATTAGCAGCAATGGAGTTTAGAGTATTTTTCCTGACACTGACAGTGTGACAGGAGACCTGTGCATGCTGCAGTGCACACTTCAAGCATCCCTATTTTCAAACATCTCTCCTCACATGAATGCATTCTTCATGGAGTCTATAAAAGGCAAGACAATACACAGCTAACACCTCTCAAGACAGAAAGATTCATAAAGTTTTGCCACAATTTTTAAACTGTCTGGGACAGCAAAACCATCAGAAGCTGAAAAGAACATGCTGACAAAAGAACATCATGGGATAGTAAATACCAAAGAGTTCTCACAGAAGGAGAAAAGCCCACTTAATGTACTTCTATTTAACATATAACACAAAGAAACAGGGTTGTCACAGCCATATCAATAAATAGAGCCCTGTGTTAGAAACAGCACATATATGCAATGTTATACTTAGTTCAGTAGAATGCTAATAAGCCAAAAGACACATTATTGCATAATGCTAAAATACATTTTGTCCTGGATTACACAAAAATTCTGGTATCCACCTTTTCTTTTTCCTCCTAATATGCCTTTTTGGTGTTTTGCCTTCTTTAAAGAGACTGAACTGCTAGTGATTCACTCACTCAAGCATTGGACCACCTGCAGTGACCGCCCAGGTGCTGTAAGAGACTGGACTATTGGTGCTCATGGCTCAATCAGCAGTGTGCTTTGCTAACAATGTCCAGAGTGGCCACCCAGGCCAGGGGCTGAAGACGTGCACATCCAACACCTCAGCCTACAAACTGCCCGTTAAACAAGATAAGGAAAGAAGCAAACCCTAAGAGGTGGGGTAGTGCTTCTTTTTCCTTACATAGATTACTCAGCTGTGATAACCCCCAAACATTCACACCAAGCCTGAAGGTATTTATCTCTTGTTGACAAGCCATAATGGACTCACCTGCAAAATCTTAGAAAGTGTCAAAGACTCCCTAGTATCCCACTCACAGTATTACATCATCCAATGCAAAACTCCCTGCTCCAGGGGAGGTATTGGAGGCATTCCTACCTGAACCTGAGTGTATATAACAGTTTTGAGGCTTCTACCATCACCTTGATGGATCCAGACTGCAACCACCACTTCAACCAATAAACATCGAAATTGCAACAACCAAGTCTTGTTGTGGATCCAACGGGTGTCTTGCCGGTCCTTCCAGTCACCTGGGGGGTCTGCAGTCCTGCCCCAACTGCCTGTACCGGCACTGCAGCCACTTCCTGCCAGCGCTGACTCTCCAACTTTCCTGACAGGATTCCCAGGCATGGGGAGGCAAACCACATAGAAGGGCAGCCATCTTGTCTCTGTCCTGTGGCTGTGGTTTTCTTCCAGGTGGAAGAGACCAGCCGCCATCTCGATTTGGTCTGGTGGGTGGGGCTCGGGAAGTTCCTCCTCATCAGTTGGTTTAACTCAGTTTTATCAGTATTGTTATTAGCATTCATCTTGGTACAGAGTTATTTTTTCACTTACACCTGGGCATATTTGGTATCTCTCTCTCTGTACTGGAGAAACCAGAG